TTTTGGTCCCAAAAAATTACGCATTTAATAACACGAAACAACTACGCCAGACGATAGGACCCAAAAACAGTTTTCTTGTTTAAGCGCTCGTCTCTTCACCTCCGGGACATTTGGTTTGGGGAATTTTTTAGGGTTTTTTATTTCAGACGAAGAGGTCAATCTGGTGACTCAGAGAAGGGAAGAGAGTTTTTGTGTTAAATCGACCATTTGAGGTTTCTAAATCCACATTGCACAACGCTGAAATTTTCAAATGGAGAAGCCGAGGAGGAATCGAAAGGATGGAACTTTGGCTAAGAACAGTAAGAAAATTTGTTTTCCACAGCCGTTCTTGTTCTTTTAATTATTTTTTGTTTGTTTTTTTTTTTTTTTTTGGGATGCAAATTTTTGCTGTCTTATTACAGACATGGGGACATGCTGGGGACCAAATGACTTAATATTTTAGTGCATATCTTTGAAAAATATTTATGTATACTTTTTCGTCTCGGGTATAATGTCTTTCTTCTTGGGTTAAATGGTAAATCATCCCCCTTACATGATTGTGTTCATCGAGAATTTGAGAAAATTATTCTATGTCTTCCTGTTTTCTTGTGATGCTTTGATGTGTATGAAAGGCTAAACAGGACAGGATGGTTTGAGGGTTCTTCTTTGAACCTCTTTTGAACCATAGCTAATGGCTCGAAATTTTTAAATTTCAAGACTTCTGTTTTGTGCTTCAACAGAATCATGGAACCAGTATTTTCCTGTTGGCATACCATTCAAATGTTTGGAATATAGGTGGTTCTTGTGTTGGATCAGCGCTTATTTTTTTTGGTACATTAGAAGTTAGCTGCTTAACTTCCTAGAATTTTGAACCTCTGACCTTAATCCTAATTCAAGGTTTTAATGTTGGCGTAGCTCTTGTGTTGTGGGGCACTTTATTGAATTGAAATGTCTTTATTTGTTCTGGGGTCTTTTGACTATTTCTATTTCCTGATGTGGCTATATTTTTATTGTTTTAATTCAAATAGAACCAACATCTGAAAATCTGGATACTGAAATGGATGATGAATCTGATGGTAAAAACGAAAATACCAGTAGTGATGATTGTGAGGATTCAGATTTTGAGGCAGTTGAGGATGCTGAAGATGCTCAAGAATCAGATAGTGATGATTCTGAGGTAAGTGTGTAGAACAGCATTAAGGTCTCTGTTTCAGTTCTGAGGTGCTATCTTGTAAAATTGCTATCCACTTCTTCTTCTTCTTCTCCTATTATTTTTATTTTTTTGCTCATCCCACCCCCGACCTCAGGGAAGCTTCGGTGGATCAAGGAGGAACAACCGAGATCCAGATGTGATTATTAGATGGATGCCTGATGTAAGTTTTCTTTATTTGAGAGTTGAGACTTTGTTGATAACTGAGTTGGTGCTTGATAACAACTAGAATGCATTTTCTGGCGCTGTTTTACAACAAATTTATATCTGTTACAATCTTAAACTTTTTCATTTTAATAATTGTTAGGGTTCCAGCAAGACTGTTTACGGGGGAAACCAAACTGAAACCAGGATTGTACAAAATCCTGCATTTCCAGTTTCAGGTTACTATCCACGATATCCTGCTCCAGCTTCTCAACAGTGGTCATCATCAGCAAACCTTGGGAGACCCGTATTCAAAAATATGCCTTCTATGTATAAAGATGCAGCAACTGCCAATGGGAACAAGCACAAAAAGGGAGATTCAAGTGAGACTGCACATAAGGGGGAGAATTGAAATTCTTGGGAAATGAATTGGATTTTATGGTGCATTGTATCTGCAGCATTGGTGGATGTCATTTTTGTGTAGGTCAGCTGGATTTTATGGTTGATTAGTATATAGCACTTATTGTTGAAGGATGGTTTTGAGTAGGCACATTTGCAACCATTTGCGGTTGTGATTATCTTTCTTAGTAGTAGGCAGAGTTCTGCTCAGTTAGAACTTTAACTAATTTTCTAGAATGTGTTATAAGCACATTTGAATTAGAATACTAGGTTTTGTTTTGTTTCACTTGCAGTAATATTTGGTATGGACCTATGTTTTGGAGTTACCTATTAAAGGAATAGAGGTTCCAAAAGTTCCATTGCCATCATAAGAAACCTAAATATCAGTTCTTCATTACTTTAAACTAGACAACTAGAGGTCAGATGAAAGAAGACAGACAAAAAAAAAAAAAAAAAA